GGTCCTGGATTATCTGGATAGCGGTAAATAAAAATCAGCATACATGATTTTTGTGTTTATTTCAACATCAAAATATTGTGTAATTAAAATGAGAAGATCATAGAAATCACCCGAAGTACTGGGTCTTACCTTGGCTTTTCACAAAGGTCAGTGTATGCATCCACAAAAGTAGGATACAGCTTGTGGTTGTTACATGCATTTTATCTTCGCTAGCCTCATTCACCAAACAGAACTAAAGACTGGAGACTCAAAGACTGTTGTACACTAGAGGAGCCTGGATTTCACGGGGAAAGAAGAGATTGCTCAATGATTTACAAAAGGCTGTCCTTGCCTCCAAATATGACCTTAGGCTCGCTGGGAAAAAAACCCAAAAACAAACAAACACTTAAAACACACCCGCACACACACACAGGAAGTGATTACATATAGCTACTTTCATGACACAATTGATCTTTAAAATCTTCATCACCAATTTTAAGGGCATTTATTTGCAGCAAAATAATTTCATGGCCTTGTGTGGTTACCATGTTTACCGTACAGTGACAAACCAAAGAACAAACAAACTTTTACGGGAATATTCACTTTCTTTTGCTTTCCTGTTAATCATTTGCGTGAATCAATAAGGCAAACAAAGTATGTTGCATCTTGGCAAGACAAATACAAAGTGAACTGTATTTTTTACTTCAAAAGCAGATCAAATGCATCATTTTTTACTCGCCAAATTGTGAACTGAACCTAATTTTTGTGTGCACATGAATACAATTGTTGTAACCATGAAAAAAAAATACATGCACACAAAAACTGGTTTTGTATGGGAGGAGAGAACTGCCAAAAAACCTGGCAAAAGAAAAAAAGAAAGGCAGCCTGACTTTGTTTTGCAAACTACTGAAACAAAATGTAGCTGTTGAGCAATATTGGATTTGCCCTCATTTCTCTCCATAGCTTCATGTTACTCACTTCTGAACATACATTACATGTGCCACTCTACAAATGCATTTCTTGGACCATACAGTATGGCTTTGTTATGATATTCAATGAGCAAGTGGCATCTGTGAGTCAGAAAGTAAACAAACACTTTATACAGTATGTATTTTTCCATTTTTCACCAGCAGACTAACTATTATACCCTAACATGGGAATTTTAACATTTCTGTCTGACGTTTTGCATAAAGCTGAATTTCCTCCAACACTGTGAAACTATTTCTACTGACTGAGAATCACGAGTACTGTTTGCTCTGCAAACTACCTCCCTGCCCCACTGCTGACGAAGCAGAAAGAGCGAGAGCAATGTGGATTGATGGTCAAATGATTAAACCTTTTAAAGAATCAAGCTGTAAGAAGCAGATATTTTGTGTGCTCACATCAACTATTATTATCTTCAAATGTGAACAGTATGATGATGAAATGTTAACTTGTTCATTCTCCAGGTTTCTATCAGATTGAAAAAGACTGCTGCTGGAGGTCATAAAGAAAACATTCTTGTGTTTAAAATGTAATATGGAATAACATTTACAAGAAAGTTTTACAACTAACTATTATTGAAAAACATTCCTGACAAATCAATTGACGTAGGTGTGCAAAGGGTACCTTCAGCAACCATTACCCCATATCGCAATAGCACATTGTGCAAGTTTAGCATGTTAAAAGACTGACTGATCTTTAGATAAACAGTTGCTTTAATCCAGCTGCAAACAGGCTGATTTGGCTAGATGAACTTCTGGATCATTAAATGGAGCAAGAAATGACCAAATACCTAGATTTCACACCTGCAGATATGCAGTTTTCACTTAATAAACATTTATGCTAGGACTTTGGTCAGATTTGCATTCTTTTGGCATTAAAATGTGTTTTTGGGATTCACTAAAAAGGCCCAAAAACAAGTGACTACCCACATAGCAATCTGGTCTGGCCCAGATCTGGTATCAAGCCGACACTGCTGGCTGACTTCTGGCATGGTAAGTGGTATGTCATCCAGATATGGGCCAGGCCTGGCATAGATGGCACTGTCTATGTAATGGCATGCCATATCAGTTTTGTTGCAGTTTGGTGTATGTGACCCAGGCCCATAGAAAACAGGTCTAGCCCAGATCTGGAATCAAGCTGGCACTTCTGACTAACTGGTGTCATGACAGAGTGTATGTCAACCAGATGTGGGCCAGGTCTGGCAATGATGGCACTATGTTCCTATTTTAGTTAGAAGACCCAAATGCCATGGTGCAATGCTATACTGCTATGGTAGCCAACGTTTCAAATGCAGGTTTGACAGGTTTGTGAGTGTACACTCTATCCAATACCTAGTGACGGTTTACACATCTTTGCCTGTAGGTGCTGTAGCTCAGCAGGTAGCGCAAGTCAGCTACTGATCGGAAAGTTAGTGGTTCAATCCCTAGTTCATCCAGTCTGCATGTCAAGAGTGAGAATGTGTATGAATGTAGCTAGAAAGCACTCAGTTTAGAGAAACTGTGTGAATGTGGCATGTTGTACAGAGCACTTTGAGTAACCTGGAAGAGTAGAAAAGCACTATATAAGAATCAGTGTCTGAACAGTTCTGTCATGTTATCTTTGCACTATTATGTCCTGGTGCATGTTGTTATTACATGACTTGATTAACCCTTTAAGATCTACCATAGAACTAAGTCCGCCAGAGCTTATATTATATTTGTACATGTTGTAGTGCCATTTTTGGGAGCATTTCAAGTTGATATACATCAATACATCCATTATAGCCCAAATTTTAATAATATGTCTGCATTAAGTGCATAGTAATTACATACATTGCAAAAAAGTGCAATAAACTACGAAAAATGTAAAATCATTTTTGTTTTTTTAACATATATTTCAAGTTAGAGAAGTTTAATAGGCTTAACCCTCAAAACTGTAAATACAAAAAAGTTGCACAAAATAGATTCCCACCACAGGAAATTTATTTTAAGTGTCTTCATAGTTTTATTTTTGAAATACACCAATTTTTATATACCGCAGGAAAAACAAAAATAAATATTATAATGCAAATTTGTGTAATGGAGCAAATGTGATTTTATTTCCAGTGTTTTTAAAGGAGGGAAACCTTCCTCCAAATGGACAGAGCAGTGGAGCCACCAAGGGAATGCACACGAATTAAAGACTGTATAATTAAAATATAATTTATTATAT